CTGCTAATATGCTGTGTGGAAACTCATTAGAGGACACTGCAGGCAGTGAGGGAGTTCGCCATCGAGCTGTGCGCGATGGACAAACTGCCAACTTTACCCGCTGAAAGGGAAAAACAAGAAAAATGTAAGCCCATTAAATCTGACTCTCTGGAACAAAAAACCCCACTGCCCGGTGTGAGCGCACTGCAACAACCACCGCAACACAATGATGGTAGCCTGCTGACCACTACATTGAGCAAGTCACCAGCATAACTGCGTATTTATCCTGGAAAAACACTTTTAATGTTGTAACCGAGATCCACAGTGTGGGGCTTGTTGTATTAAACCAAACTAAAATGAATTCGCCTGAGGGTTTGTTTATGAACTGTAGCTGTTACTTTTTAGTAAAGGGGAACAAAAGTCTTTTTACATACACTAACTGGCCACTTCATTAAGTTCACTTCCTAATATCTACGCTCATTGTCCACTTTATCAGCTCCACTTACTGTAGAGGTGAACTTTGTAGTTGTACAATTACAGACTGTAGTCCATCTGTTTCTCTGTATCCACAGGACCCTCACAGAGCAGGTACTTTTTGGGTGGTGGGTCATTCTCAGCACTGCAGTAACACTGACGTGGTGGTGGTGTGTTAGTGTGTGTTGCGCTGGTCTGAGTGGATTAGACACAGCAGTGCTGCTGGAGTTTTTAAACTGAGATCCAAAAATATCCTGCCAACAGTGTCCTGTGACCACTGATGAAGGACTAGAGGATGACCAACACAAACTGTGCAGCAGCAGATGAGCTATCGTCTCTGACTTTACATCTGCAAGGTGGACTAACAAGGTAGGAGTGCCTAATAGAGTGGACAGTGAGTGGACACTGATCCACTCATACCAGTGCAACACACACTAACACGTCGGTGTCACTGCAGTGCTGAGAATGATCCACCACCCATTTAATACCTGCTCTGTGGTGGTCCTGTGGGGTCCTGACCATTGGACAACAGTGTAACAGAGTATCCAGAGAAACAGATGGACTACAGTCTGTAACTGTAGAACTATGAAGTGCACCTATATGTTAAGTGGAGCTTGAAATGCAATTTCATTATTATTCATTATTGCTAGGCATCACGGTATGTAATAGTCTGTAGCGTAGTATTACATCCTTCAGACTCATCAATTCAAAAGTCCTTTTTGTTTTTGTCCATCAATCTTATCTCACTACATTACCCAGCATGCATTATGCAAGTACGTTTGCTAGCATAGCTACTTATATAGAGACTAATGAATAAAGACTTGATATTGGGTTTCCTAACAATAGCTATCTGCATTAGCCAACTATTAGGGAAGGAAAAACAGCCAAGCCTCAAGTATCCCCCCAAAACATTTTTTTTTTCAAAGTTTTGTTCAGTTTTCAGTTTTGTTGTTTTTCAGTCTTCAGCCGTCATCAGAAAGGGGTGTTCCTAGTTTTAAGGCTAAAAAATCTTGCTCTACAGATCACTGCTGTAGGAGGTGACAAGGCATGTTTATAAAAGGTATTGGTTAATTTTTCACTTTGGCCATAGTGACCAGTCTACGCCCATAACAGCAGCACTAGTGTTAGCAACTGGAAGCAATGGGCCTCATTCACCAATATCCTCCTAATTTTATTCTCAAATTTGTTCTTGAAAAAAGGTCCTAAGAAAAAGTCAGATTCATGTTCTTAAACCGCAGAATTGTTTGCTCCTTTGTGCTCTTGACTGTGTCTAGATATTGTTCTCATATAAGAACGAATCCCAAATAAGAAAACATTGGTGAATGTTAGAATCTTCGTGAAAACTGCATAAGTGGGTTTTAAGTAGGATGTTCTTTTTAAGAACAGTTGGTGAATGAGGCCCAATGCCATGAAGATAGCTTAGCTAGTGACACGGACTCTGCAAATGTTGTTATAGAAAACAAGCTAACAGAAAAAAGCAATTTCTATATACTCTACTCCATTATAATGTAATCTCAGTGCTGTTGTTGCATTTATTTCATATGCAAGAAAGCTGACAATTCATAGATTTTTATTTTGTTTGTGCCACAAATTACCTTTTCGAACAAGAATAAATAATAAACAGGGATGTCACACCTCAGTCGTGTTAAAGCAAACCAGTAATGAGCACTTCCACAGCAATGTGAATTCTGAATGTGTGCATACGCTCACAGTGCATCCAACAATAAAAGCAGCATGGAGCTTCTTTTATGCAGTGATAGGAAACATGGTAGCAGACACAGAGCTCCAGTTCCACATGCTGATCCATTTTACTGTTCAAAGTATCATGTGAAATGATTCATTATAGAGACTCAGATTTCTTTACAGTGATGGTGAATGGAACCAGGGGTCACCATGTCTACAACACAAATATAGCTATTTTATTTACTATCAAAACCACCAGTGAACCTACACGTCTTCTGAGTTTTGATATGGGATGGTGATGAAGGTAAAATAGCAGTAATATAGCAGAAATTTGATTATCTTAACACTTTTTAAAAACACATTTTGGCCAAAACATTCTCAAAGCTATAGTCAGACACCAAGATGTTGCTTTTAGAGGCATCAAACACTTTCAACATCTGGTTCCTATCACCACCACTGTGAACCGTTCTGCCTCAGTTTCTCTAGAATGGAACATTTAACATCAATTGAATTGCTTTGTTTACAATGTTAAATGATTTAACTATGTAGAGTTTTTGAAAAATCGATGAAATTCTGTAAGGGGGCCACTGCCAAAGTCTCTGATCAATTTGATAGGGTTGAAGAAATCCTTATACATCCAAGGTCCAAAGCAACTTGGACTGTAAATCTTAAAAACTAAACAAATTAAAATACCAATAATAGCCATTAATTCAAAGGGGAAGGAAAGGAGGAATGGCAGTTTTATTAGGAGGATGATATTTCATCCCTTGGCATCCCCTCTCAAATCAAGCCCTGCTCCTGCTTAACTTCCATTCAATCATTGAAATACTGAATCTTCCCAGCACTAATTTTAACTTGGCTGTGGGCATGGTATGGCATAAAACACTCACAGTGCTACGTTTCAATCATTTGACTGGCCACCTTGTAAATTTGCATAGAGTGCCCCCCAAGTGCATCATAGTAGTAAAGCACCCTAACATTGAAAATGCCCTTCGCAACAAACCTGCACGAGCATTTCCTTTTCTCAGACAGCTTGTGCTGAATACTACACTTTCCTAAGTGGGGACATGAGTCTATCTGTTCCCCTCAACTGACCATCACTAGAAGCAGCGACCATTTCACCACAAATATTGTGAATATATAAAGACAGGCTGACAAGCAAATATTTATTTATTTGTTTCAATTCATTTCTAATCATATTCGCCAGCTGGCGGCTTGTCTAAACACGCAGATCTGATTACTTAAGAAAAAATGAGATGTGACTCAAACATCTACCTTGGCTCACCGTCCACTTTATAAAAAGCCCTGGTCTCGTAGCTCCACCTTGATGTGTACAGAGTTGTAGCCCATCTGCTGAAGCATAGCCATTCTTTAGCCCTTAATTAATGGTCAGTTTCCAACCACAGAGCCACTCCAGATTGGACATTTTATGCGTGTAAACATAACACTCCTACCAGCATCACACACAATACCTAGTCAGTAGCAGTGCTGTGCTGAGAATGGACCACCATCTATATAATTTCTGGACATCGGTGGCCCTGTGGTGAGAAACTGACCAGTGATGAATGGGCTAAAGAGAGCTAATAAACTGTGCGACAACAGTACTACAGTCTGTAATTGTACACTGATATAGTGGACCTGTCCAGTTGGTGTATCTATTAAAGTGGCCAGCAAATGGAAGCACTGTGCTAGCAGGAAGAAATAAAAACAAAGTCTAACTCACCAAGGAAAGCCCTGGTATATGTGTTGGTACAGTTTCAACACTACCCTGCCAAGTCTCTGTGTCTTTCCACATTAGCTGATTTCATGAAGAATTTATGAAGTTAATTATACTGGTTCTTAATATCGATCTCTACAGTGTCCAAATCAGGGCTCAACAGGAGAGTGGACTGGAAATAAGTGTGCCGTTCCTGCACCATAGGCCTCAGCACCACTAAGATTATTCCTGAAAGAATTATTATGGATGGACTAATCAGAACCTCAGTGATTAGCTTGGTAGTAAATTGCCCTATATTACCCATAACGCTGTTCCATAATATCAAACATGTTGTTCCATACTACCCAACATGCTGGCCCATAACACTAAATATGTTGTCCCATAATACCCAACATGTTGTCCCATATTACCCAACACACTGTTCCATAATATCAAACATGTTGTCCCATACTACCCAACATGCTGTGCCATAATAGCAAACATGTTGTTCCATACTACCCAACATGCTGGCCCATAACACTAAATATGTTGTCCCATAAAACGCAACATGCTGTCCCATAATACCAAACATGTTGTCCCATATTACCCAACACGCTGTTCCATAATATCAAACATGTTGTACCATATTGCCCAACAAACTCTCATACTACCCAACAACCTATCCCATACTACTCAACATGCTCATAATAATATGCTCTCACAATGCTTGGCATGCTGTCCTAATGTACTCAATACACTCTCTCATAATACCTAACAAGCTGTTAGACACATTGCCCAACACAGTGTCCCGTAATAGCCAACAAGTTGCCCTATATTGCCCAGCACAGAGTCCAGTTATAGCCAATATGCTGTTCTATATTACCCAACATGCTGTCAAATAATACCTAACATGCTGTCCCACATTACCCAACACACAGTCCTATTATAGCCAACATGCTGTCCCTTATTACCAAACATGTCCCACAATACCCAACACACTGTCCTATATTATGCAACATTCTGTCCTGTACTACCAACACACTGTAACATAATACCCAACACTGCGCCCCATAAGGTCTGTCCTATATGGTATTTCATTTTTCATTTGCTTTCTAGAAACTTAAACCAAAAAGCAGAAAGGGAAAGGAAGCTTCCTTGCTCTGCTCACCATAATCACTGTCGTAGAAAACAATGAACTTCTGCCAGCGGAGCTCGGCGACGAGCGTGAGCATGACATCACTGAGGCGCACAGGCGGGCGTGCGGCCAGTGTGTAGCGCTCCCCCTCCGGGCTGGGGTTGAACTGGCAGGCGGTGCGCGGTGAGCCGTCACCATTGCGCTGCACATACAGGTGTGGGATGTGCATGGCATCGGTCAGAGACTGCAGGGCACTAGCCGAGGCGCAGCCAGTGGAGGTCACCAGGGCCAGGATACCTTGCGTCATCAGCTCACAGGCTGCAGAGAGACAGAGAGAAAATCACTCAGACTGGATTTAACATCAACACATTAACATCAAGCATCATTCCTCTTTGTGAGATATTTCAGTGCCCGTTAAAGTGCGTCCTTGACAATAATCTCAAATATTAAGATATTGAAAGGATCATCAAAGACAGTGGAAAACATTCTGACTCTTAAATGTGGCAGATGAATGTGAACTTTGTTTTTTTCATTTGTGTGCATTTGTTAAAACTTACATAATGAACAAAAATAGCATCTGCGTCAAAGCTCTGCCTGTATGGACAGATGTTTTTATTGTGCAATGTTGTCTCCAAAGCATCCTGCACTTTTTTAAAAAAGTACATGCGTTCAGCAAATGCTCTGACTTACAATAGTAGGATAATGTAGTGTTCAGAGTCGAACCTAGTGACTCTATTTGGTGTAGCTCTGTCCCATCCTCCTCAACATGCTGTCCTATATTACCCAACACACTGTCCAATATTGCCCAACATGCTGTCCCATACTCTTCAACATACTATCCCATATTACCTTACAGACTGACCAATATTACCCAATCTGGTGTCCCATTCTCCTCAACATGCTGTCCCATATTACCCAACAGACTGTCCGATATTACCAACACACTGTCCCATACTATTTAACACATTGTCCAGTACTATTTAACACATTGTCCCATCATACTTAACACACTGTCCCATATTTCCCAAATGCTTTCACACAATGCATAACATGTTGTCTTATAATACTTAAAATGCTGTGCTATAATATCTAACACGTACACATACAATCCAACATGTTGTCCCATCATATTTAACATGCTGTCCTATGCTGCCCAACATGATGTCCCATTATGCTTAACATGCTATCTCGTATACCTAACATGCTATCCAATGATGTATCATAGTACCCAATTTACTGCTCACTAATCCCAAAATGCTGTCCTATAATACCGACATGCTATAATGCCTCATAGACTGTCTGATATTACCCCTGACAATACTACCCAACATACTATCCCATAATACCCAGCAATGCCCTGTATTACTCAATGTAATGTCTCATACTTCCAACTACTATACTACCAACCTAACCCTACACATTGTTGTGTAATAGCTAATACAGTGTCCTGTAATACCAACAGACATTCGTATATTACATGACACAGTGTCCCATACTACACAACATGCTATCCCATACTACTCAACATGCTGTCCCATAACACCTAACACACTGTCCACATGCTGTTGTCCCATATTACCAAACACACAGTCCCAAAATATCTAATATGTTGTCCCATATTACCAAACACACAGTTCCAAAATACCTAATATGTTGTCTCCTATTACCCAACATAAAGCCCCATAATACCTAATATCATCGTCATCATCATCATCGCTAACCGCTTAGTCCAGCTAGGGTCGCGGTAGCAGTTGGGAGAGCAGAGAATCCCAGACGACCCTGTCCCCCGCAACTTCCTCCAGCTCATTCCCAGGGACCCCAAGCCACTTCCAGGCCAAGCTGGAGATATAATCCCTCCAGCGCGTCCTAGGACGACCCCGGGGTCTTGTCCCGGTAGGCCATGCCTGATACACCCCCATCGGGAGGCGTCCAGGGGGCATCCGGATCAGATGCACGAACCACCTCAGCTGGCTCCTCTCAATGCGGAGGAGTAGCGGCTCTACTCCGAGCTCCTCCCGGATGGCCGAGCTCCTCACCCTATCAAATAGAGTGTAGCCCGCCACCCTGCAAAGAAAGCTCATTTCCGTCGCTTGTATTCGTGATCTCATTCTTTTGGTCATTACCCATAGCTCATGACCATAGGTGAGGGTCGGGATGTAGACCGACCGGGAAACAGAGAGCTTTGCCTTACGGCTCAGCTCCCTCCTCACCACAACAGTCCGGTACAGCGACTCACTCCTGAACAAGACCCCGAGATACTTAAACTCCTTCACCTGGGGCAAGTCCTTTCCCCTTACCTGGAGTGGGCAGGTAATACCTAATATATTTTCCAATATTACCCAACGTACAGCCCCATAATACCTAATACGTTTTGCCATGTTACCCAACATACAGCCCCATAATACCTAGTATGTTGTCCCATATTACCCAACACACCATTCCAGAATACCAACACACTGCCATATATTATTTATCAAATGATTCTGAATCCACCTTAAACAGAGCAGATTGATATGTAAAAAATGGATACTATAATCAGAATAAAAGAGTGAGTCCTGAAGAAACCATTAATGTTTAATGAGCAGTTTCTTCCGGAGCGGAGGCTGCATCCTCATCAAAATCTGAAAACCCCAGATGAAGCTACAGAAGCCAGGCGATTCTCTCCAGGCGTCAATAAACTCCCCAGTTCAGGACTCTGTGCCCTCCAGTGACCCGAGTTATTGTGTCAATTAACCTTTGCCCACTCAGAAACAGAGGCAGGGCTTGTGTTCCTTCTTAATGCCACTGTACTGTAAGTGGTAATGTAAAAAGCACTTAAGGCAATTGAAAGAGGGCCCTAATTTCAGCCTTTCAGTACATACAGCCAGTATCTCAGCTCACTCCAGCATGATTGCAGTGACCTTTAATGAAATCTTTCCGCGGTTCGGAGCAGACATGACACCTCTCTGGATTGCGTGTGTTCGTTACTCATGTACATTCGCATGCCTCTCAACGGCAGGGAGATAATTTCATCCTTGTGCTCTTTCACAGTTTGGTTTTAATTGTGTGGACTTTCTCAGCCTTCACGGTGGACCCTGTAAATCCTGCTTTTACAAGAATAGCCATGAGGATTTAAACGAATGCGGCTAATGATGCAGTAATTAAAGAGGCCTCGGCGGGTCCCTGCACAGACCACTCTTAGATCGATCCCCACACCCGCACACACATACATAGGAGGGAAACAAAGATGGAGAAATAAACAAACACACCTTTAAAATTGACTTTATACTTAAGAAACACATTTGAAGGTATTGACCACACCATAGAGCTTCTTTATTGAAATCCAATCAGGATACACCATTCCAGCATTTTGTCTTTCAGCATCAGAAATATCTCGCTTTATTCCAGATAACTTGCCTGATGGAAAACATCACAGACAGATCACCTCACCCCCTCTTTTTGCAATTATCGACTTTATGTCCCCTTGGGCCGAAGACACTGGCCTTAACAGTGCAATTGTAAGGGAAATCGCTTTTACTTAGCTTTCTAATGATTAGAGCCTTTGCATTTGTGCTCAAACACAAATCAAATTGAACCGTGGCCCTTTAAAATCTTAAGGAGCTCATGAAGAAGAAGGGGGGAAAAAATCTCCCAATGCTAAAAAAGTGGTCCCATGTGAGGCCTAAATAAATTACCAATGAAAGAGGAAGATAAATGCTCACTTTCTGATTGCTCATCACTTTTTTTGTGATTAAAGTTCTTTACTTGCTATGCGCTTCCATTATATGCCATAATGTCCAAGACAGGACCTCTTGGCCTCATCAGCACCCGTTGCTTTGGCACTTTCATTGAACTCTATGTTTGTTGATGTCAGCAATATCTAGACTTAATTCATGCTGGAACAAACTGGATCCAGGTCCAGCACCTCCCAGATTGGATCCACCACCTATTTTCCTTTCTCGGGCAGCTCATCCACATTTTAATTATATTCAGATGACAGTCTTACACAGTTGTATTAAGAAAGATCATAATAATATTTTTTACAAACAACTCCACACACATATCAGAACACAGGGTGGACAAGTAGCACACTATGTCACCTCCATCTACACAACTTTTGTTAAAGCATGCAAAGAGATAAACAGCAATAAAAACAACACAGGCACTGTTTATCACTCGCGAATGCACCACTGCTGCTGGGATGAGTAATGTTGAGTTAAACCACTGGCTTGTGACAGTAGAAATGCTGATTTGAATGGCCATGACAAATTTGCATGTGGGCCAAACTTTGAACTTTGTATCTGGTGGCCACCACAAAGTAGTTACTTAGCCGCAACTATGTGGCATCTATGAAACATGAGAAAAGGAAAAAATGAAACTGACATACACAAAATTCAGATTTTTTTTTGAGCAAAAATGTCCAACATGCAATTTTTCTGCTATTTTGATGTTTATGTGTTCAGATTTAAGATGCCACTTTCAGAGTTACTAAATACAGTATAAGTAACAGGATAACTGTTTGTAGTTATTGTATTTCTCTCATTTTTACGGTGTTTCTGGCAATGTTTATGGTAATACTTAAGGCGGAGTTACACCTGAGTTAGACCCTATGCAGCAGTGATGGTCTTGGAAGAGAATATTTTTTTTCCTTTCGAGCTTTGGCTTATTTGGAAGTCGAAATGCTTAACAGACAACTTAGAGTAATGGTTGTTGGTTACGCTGGAATTTTGATTGGTCAATTTCAAAAATAGTATTCATTTTGGATTTTTATTTGTGGTTTTGGTGTATTTATTTACACCAGCACCATTTACATTTACACCCACACCACTGCCTGACGCTTATTAACCCTGATAACATTAAGGTAAACTTCACTTTTTTTTTGAGACCTCATCCCTGCCCCATCAATCTGCCAGATCCATACACAGTTTTTTGGGACCTCATCATTTAAACCTACAACTAACTAGGCTAACTTCACAAGAAGGAGTGCATCAGTCATGAATTTTCATGGCTGTTTCTTACTCCAATTTCTTGTAACCAACTTGACCAATTTTTATTATTGTTATTTTTAATCTGAAGCTGTGTGGACTAAATAAAAACACACACTAGAACATTTCCAGTACTTTCTATTAGCCTAAGTCGCACTATAAATAACATTATTTGCTCTTTAATGGACCAAACTGACATTTTAGATTTGTAAATAAAAAATCAGCCTATTTCAATAACATGTTATATCAAAAGTAGAAGCTAACTGGCTGGTTAGCATGATAAGTCGTGTATAATTATGCTACAACATTTTGGTACAGGTGTAGCAATAGCATTCAAATAAAGTTG